CTCAGGGGTTGAGCGCTGACCCTGCACCAAGAGGTCCTGGTTTGATTCCCGGTCAGGGCACAGGCCCGGGTTGTGGGCCCATCCCCAGTGGGGGGCCTGCAGGAGGCGGCCAGTCGATGTTCTTTCTCATGGATGTTTCTATCTCTCTCTAAAATCAATAAAGAAAAAATATTTAGAAAAAATAGAAGTAGCTACTCTGGAACTTTCTTAGGACAACGAGGACTCTTTCCTGGGGCGGCCGTGAGGGTCAGGTTTAGCATAAGGAAGAGGAACATGTTCCCGCAGTCTAGAGGCCGGGAGTCTGGGGTCGAGGTGTCGGGGGTCCTGCCCCCTCCAGCTGGGGGGCCCCAGCGTCTGCTGGTCCCTGCGGCGTCACTGGGTCTCTGCCTGTCCCTGCTCCTGGGTGGTGTCACCAGTCTTATGGTCAAAACCACCTGTGGGGTGACAGCCCCCAGCTGCCGTCCCCGGGCTGGACCTCACCTGTGAGACCAGGGTCAGTGTGTCTCCCGCCGGCGGACGCCTGCACTGGCTGAGGCGAGCGCGTGGAGTTGACCGGACCCCGTCGTCCTGGGACTTCCAGCCTGCACCCCGGCTCCCCTCACAGCCCGTCTGCGAGTCCGGCTCTGCCGTCCGTCTTCGCCCAGAATTCACGCTCTTTCTACGCGCCGAGGTCACTCCCCTGCCCACCTGGGTCGCCTCGGCGGCCCCGCACAGACGTGGACGCAGGAGCTGTCCCCCCCCCCACCCCCCCGCTGCAGCTCACGCCCAGCCTGCCTCTGTCCCCCTGCAGACGCCTGGGCCGCTGGGAGGACCCACCCCGCCTGGTTCTCCCCGGGGCTCACAGCACTTCCGCCCACCATTTGGGGGGCTTTTCCACAGCAGGCGTCTCCGACACCCCCTGGGGTCCCCCCAACTCAGCTCAGTCCTGACCCCATCTACCTGTTGACAGTGTCAGACCCCACGGGTTCAGGGTGCAGTCCCACGAGGCTCCCCACAGGCTCAGGGTGCAGTCCCACGAGGCTCCCCCACTTCAGACGCCATGGCAAGTGGTAGGTCCCCGGGGACCCACAGTTCTGCCTGACTGGGCTGCAGCCTGAGGGTCCCATGGCCCCTCCCCTTGGTTCAGCCTTTGCCGGAGAGGTGGACGAACACAGGGCTGCCTCACTTACCTTCACCAGGCTACTTAAGGGGTGATGAGGACAGGCCCCTGGGGAGGTCTGGGGGGCCGTGCATGGGCTTGCTCCCCGGGGAGGTCTGGGGGGCCGTGCATGGGCTTGCTCCCCGGAGTTGGGGTGCACCACCTCCAGTATGCAGATGTGTTCACCCCTGGAAGCTCCCAGAACCCCACCCCCTCAGGTGTTCCTGGCGGCATTGCTACATCACATGACTGATCAGATCATTGGCCGTTGATTATTGATCCCACCTCCAGCCCCTCTCCCCTCCCCAGAGGTCAGGGGGGTGGGGCTGAAAGTCCTGACTCTAATCCTGTTTGGTTTTCCACCCCCCTCCAGGTGGTTCCCCAAAGTCACCTTATTAACATAACAAAAGGACGATTCCCCTGTGGAAGGAGCTTGTGCCAGGGATGGGGCCCAAGGCCCCTGCATTTCTGAGTGTACGTTTTACAGCCTCAGGCACCTGCAGTCCTGTGCCCAGCTTCCTCCTGCCTCGCAAGCCCACCCCCCCCTCCTGGTACCTCCGCAGCCCCGACACCTCGCCGCCCTGCGGGGTTCCGGGCTTCATCCACAGCCCCTGAGGAGAAGCAGACTGGTGGGTGCCGAGCTCAGGACACCGTGTGCAGTGCTTGCTGGCGAAGCAATGAAAGATACGCCCCCAAAATGACAAAACAGTTCACCTGTGCACCCCGAGTCCCTGATCGAACACTGAACACCCTCCGCATCCCCGTGCGCCCTCTTTACATGGGAGACGGACACCTGTGCCCCCGGGAGCCTGGGGGCCCAGCAGGATCCGCAGCCAGGGCCACGCCTCCTCGTGCCCCATTCTCCACGTGCAACAGCAAATTATTGCTGGGGTACCCCATTCTCCATGTGCAACAGTGAGGTATTTCTGGGGTACCTGAGCTGTCAGGGCACCTTCAGGGCGCCACCCCGTTTCCTGCGCAGACCAACCCCCAGGTAGGCAGAGCCATCAGGATTGAGCACCCGAGGTGCCAGACCGGCTTTGTGGGTGTGAATCAGCTGGGCAGCTGTGGGCCCTTCTCTGTTCACGATTCCATCTATGAAAACAGTGTTTTTACCCCCTGAATGTACGTGGCTCCCCTGGATGTACGTGGCTCCCCCTGGGTGTACGTGGCTCCCCTGGATGTACGTGGCTTCGATAAAGTCGCACAGCCGTGAGCTATTCCGTACTGACTGTCCCTGGTCCTTACACCCTCCTCAGGGAAGGCGTGAGCCCCGACTCAGACCCGCGGGTTCCCACTGAGGTGCCCGCAGTGCCCACCTCGTGCCGGTCAGCAGCGCCACCTCCACGCCAGCGCCTGCCTTTCCCCGAACGGTGAGGCTGCACCTGGCGAGAGGCTCGGCCTCCACTGGATGGAGACTGAGTGAGACCCCCCGTGTTCACCGGCGCCCCACCTGCCCAGGAGACGGGGAGGGTCCGCGGTGCCCAAGCGCCAGCTCCGGACTGCGCGGGCTGTGCCCGACCCGAGTCAGCCCACCGGGGCCGGAATCCAGCGCAACCCGGGGCCCAGGCGTCTGTGAGGTTGAGCACCCCCGACAGTTCTGTTAGAACGGAAAGGTCCCCTGCTCCCCACCGTCGGAGACAGGAAAAGACAAAGCCGCTCATGAGCAGAACTGTCCATGACCTTGATGTCACCATAAACGTCCAGTGTGAGTCCACAGGTGACACAGCCCAACACTGGTCTCTCGGGGCCCATGGAGACGACCCACGGGAACCCCGTCATCGGTCAGGCACGTGGAGATGAGCCCACGGGAACCCCATCATCAGGGCACGTGGAGAGGACCCACGGGAACCCCATCATCGGTCAGTCACGTGGAGATGAGCCCACGGGAACCCCATCATCAGTCAGGCACATGGAGACCACCCACGGGAACCCCATCATCAGGGCACGTGGAGAGGACCCACGGGAACCCCATCATCGGTCAGTCACGTGGAGATGAGCCCACGGGAACCCCATCATCGGTCAGTCACGTGGAGATGAGCCCACGGGAACCCCATCATCAGTCAGGCACGTGGAGATGACCCACGGGAACCCCATCAACAGTCAGTCACGTGGAGATGAGCCCACGGGAACCCCATCATCAGGCACGTGGAGACGACCCACAGGAACCCCATCAACAGTCAGGCATGTGGAGATGAGCCCACGGGAACCCCATCATCAGTCAGGCACATGGAGACCACCCACGGGAACCCCATCATCAGTCAGGCACATGGAGACCACCCACGGGAACCCCATCATCAGTCAGGCACATGGAGATGACCCACGGGAACCCCATCATCAGGGCACGTGGAGAAGACCCACGGGAACCCCATCAACAGTCAGTCACGTGGAGATGAGCCCACGGGAACCCCATCATCAGTCAGGCACATGGAGATGACCCACGGGAACCCCATCATCGGTCAGGCACGTGGAGATGACCCACGGGAACCCCATCATCGGTCGGTCCCCAGAACCCAGAAGGATTTCCAAACGGAGTCAAAATGCTTCAGTACAGACCTTCTTAGTTCTCCCGAGGCGACGGCTGTCCCTGGTCACCTGACGAAGTAATTGGAGCAGGATATTGCGAAAAATAACGATTATTTCAACTCAAAGGCTATAGAGATGTGTTTGGTCACTAGTCTTTCAAACGAGGATCTAAGTGATTTCTCTGAAGTCAACTCCACGAGAGGAGGTGCCTGCATCTCCCCGGTCCTGCTCGCTTCCAATTTTCGGGCTGTTTGCTGGGTGGTTCGGCTGTGGTCTGAGCGGAGGGGCCTTTTTGTGCGTTGAAGTCACTGCGGCCCCGACCAGCTGGGTCGGCGAGACCCCGGGCGGCGGGGGCGTGTGGACAGCCGTCTCCGGTCACAGGCGTCTGCGCCTCACGGGCCCCGTTACTGTGTGGTTCCCGAAGGACGTGGGGAATGTTGTGCCCCGAGGAGCACGTTCCCGGGGGACCCGTTAAGGGCTCGTCTTTTGCGCGTCCACTGACACCCCCAGAACAGCCCCAGAAAGACGTGGGGAGCGCAGCTCAGAGGGAGCTAACTGCCTGTCAGCGTCCGGCGGGCGGAGCTGAAGTCTGGTGTGGCTCTCGGGGCTGCTGTTTGTTTTCCCCGTGTGATGGGGTCCCCGCGTCCCCACAAGGAGAGGGTGGTCCCCACGTCCCTGTGAGGAGAGGGTGGTCCCCGTGTCCCCGCGAGGAGAGGGTGGTCCCCGCGCCCCCGTTGGCGGAGGAGCCTGCTCTGCGGGAGACCGGAGGCTGTGAGCGGAGCTTTGACTCGGCCCCTGCGCCCTGGAAGGTTCTAGAATGTGACTCCAGAGTTCGGAGCCACAGGAAGAGACGTTTTCATTGTGGAAACTGGGAGTGTGTGTCTCACGTCGACCCCACTCGGCACGGTCCCTCCAGACCCGCCTCTGGACAGACCTCCGCCCTGGGTCACCGCGCACACTGTCAGGCCGACCGAGGTGGGCTCCGTCGCACTGCGGGAGGGCTCTGCCCGCCGTGTCCTCGGGCACGGTCCACGTGCTGAGTGTGCAATGCGTGCGCATCTGGGGGTCCCCCAGCCCACAGTGCACCTGGATCCTGAGCACCCCTGGAACGAGACTGCTCATCTGACGTCACACTTGCTGATGGACTTGCCTTTTAACACCGGGTTTGGGGTGTTCTGAGCCCCCATGTACTATTTTGCGCCTCTCGCTTGAATCATTTATATTCTCTTTAAAACAAAACATCTTTTTTTCTTTATTGATTTTAGAGACGGAGGAAGGGAGAGGGAGAGAGAGACGGAAGCAGGGTGAGGGTCTCACTCCTCTCTCTGCTCCGCAGGGGGCATCTTCGAGACCGTGGAGAACGAGCCCGTGAACGTGGAAGAACTGGCCTTCAAGTTCGCAGTCACCAGCATCAACCGGAACCGAACCCTGATGCCCAACGTCACCCTGACCTACGACATCCAGAGAATCAGCCTGTTCGACAGCTTCGAAGCCTCCCGGAGAGGTAACCGCCCACACTCAGAGCTGCTCGGGGGGTCTGGGCCGCAGGTCAGGTCCCTGCGCGCCCAGAGGGCGTCGTGTGCGCGGGCGGGGCTGCAGGGGGCCTGGGTGTCGCCGTGGGTTCCCCCAGAGGGCGTCGTGTGCGCGGGCGGGCTGCAGGGGGCCTGGGTGTCACCGTGGGTTCCCCCAGAGGGCGTCCGTGTGCGCGGGCGGGGCTGCAGGGGGCCTGGGTGTCGCCGTGGGTTCCCGCTGGAGCGGCCGGTCTGTGGGCCTCTGCGTGGCCGCCCCTCCCGCCGGCGAGGGGGAGACGCCAGCTGGTCTGCGTTTCCTTCCCGAGGCTGAGACACCGCCACACGCACCTCTCGCCTGCGGGTCGACGGGGTGCAAACCACCAGGCCACCCCAACACCGCCCGACTGCTCTTTAACCCCTTTGTGCGAGACCACAGACAACAGATAAATACCCGACCGTTGTGTTGCCGACCAGAAACTGATTTCATGTTAGATGTCAGTTACACCGCAAAAAAAAAAGGAAACATTAAAAAACATAAAAAATGGAGTCACACAATAAAACAGACCAGTAAACAAAGAGGCCACCTGGGGTCCAAGGGTCCCCCGTGCCGTCCACGTGCCCCGGACGCGGGAAGGGTCTCCACCGTTGACATAAATGAAGTGAACACACATTTCCAACAAGATGGAACCCGGGGAACACTCTGCCTTTGCTCGGCGGGTCCCCTTTGCCTTCGAACAGAAACGCCCCGAGAAGTAACCCAGCTTCCGCGCACAGCGGGGTCTGTCTGGTGGGAGGAGCCTCGGCCGGTGCTGGGACGACCGTCCAGCGGGGCCCCTGACACACGGTCGCCTTCAATGCGCCAGAGCTCAGCCTCCAACAGCAGCGTCGAGACCCGACACGGGCGTTTGTGGCACCAAGACTGCCCCCCCGGACAGGCCGGCCTCTTTCTCGCAGAGGAAACTGCACCCCACAAAGTCACCCAGATACACGCCTGCAGCAGACGCTGTGTCCATGCTGATTCCCAGCCGTAGACGCCGCTGCTCCACAGTCCACCCAGCCAGGGCCCCCCAAGCCCCGCGAGCCCCTGTTCTGCACGGACGAGGATAAGACGTGTCTCCTGGAGGCAAAGGTGCAGAGCGCAGAGGGTGATGCTTCCCTCCCTTCTGTTCACGACCGGAGCGCGGATCATTCTCCAGAGACGGACGGCGCTCGGCACCACGTCGGCAGAGCTGTCCGTGGAGAGAGTGACACCATGTTGCACGGCCTGTTCACGTCCACACGGCGTCTTCCCAGAACTGCCTCCGTGGCGAACTCTCTAACTCCCTCCCTCTCTCAGACTCCCTCTGTCTCCGTCTGTCTGTCCCTCATAACCACGCGTGCACACGCACACGCACACGCACGTGCGCACACACAAGCATTGCTAAGCAAATACCTCCGAAAGCCGCCAGCCACGGTTAACACTGCACCCCAGCCCACGTGACATGGAGAAGCTGCCTTTGTGACCTGTAACACCCCCAGGCCTTGTGCAGTAAACACCCCGAGCTTGTTAAAGCCGGTGGTTCGCCGGCAGAAAGCATTCCCGGGAGCTACACGTGAGCGGGACCCCAGCCCTTGGCCCACACGAGACAAACAAGGCTGCAGTCTGTCCTGCTGTTCGGTTTTTCCTGCTGCCCCGTGAAAACACCCCCAGAAAAGCGAGCCTCCGGGCACAGTGGCAGGTCACACCCCGCGCCGGTCGCGCAGGAATTACCGGTCCGCCCAGCTCGGGTGGGCGGTCTGAGCCCAAGGGCAGACGTCTGAGCCAGCAGCCCAGAGCCGGGCCGGCGCCCTGACCCGCTCACGGACTTTCTCAGTGGAGTCGGTAACTTTGACTAAGCGGCCGAGCGTCTCTCTGTACCTTTGTCTGCAGAACAACATCATCATGATTATTAACACAGTTTGATAGCTTCTGCCGTGACTTGACTCCAACCGTCCGTCACTCCTCAGCAGTTCCGACTGCTTCACGCCAGCAGAGAACAGATGCGGACGACGTCACGTCACGTGGCCGCCAGCACAGATTTGTAGCAGCAGACGTGAGCGGCACTGTCTGCACAGTTGTGGACAATGACCTTTCCTAACCTTTCTGGAGAACGTGGCTGATTTCCACCACGGACAGCCATCGAGTCCCTTCCGTCACAGTTGGATGCCTGTTCTGAGGACGTGATGTCAAACCCAGAAAGTCGGGAGCGGCTTAGATACTCAGGACCGCAGGAACCGTTACGTAACCGATGCCACGGCCGCGCGAGGGGCTGATCCAGACTCCTGAGGAGTTCGTGCCGACCTGGGGGAGCGGCAGCCTTTCATGTTCAAGCGGCGTTGAAGGAAGCAACGCGTCCCTGTGTCTGCGTGACGGTTCGGAATGTTTTTATAAACTGGACACCAAAAAACAAAAATAGGTGTTATTCCAAGATGATGGGATTACGTGACCTTTCTTCCCGGCACTTAAATATTCTGAATTTTCACAATAAGTGTAGGTGATCTTACAACGAGAAAAGTAAGTGGGTATTATTGATGAATTTTTACCTACAGGTTGCCTTGGTTTCAGCCTGCGTACGGCTGGCACTGAGCTGAGCCGGGTCCCGACACCGTCCATTGTCTGTGGCGTTAGGGGGCTGGGCTCGGGGTGTCCCAGCACCTGTCAGCTGTGCTATTCTCTTCCCTGTAAGAAATGGGGCGTCAATACCACCCCATGGTCTCCAGCACTTTCCCAGTAGGAGCAAAAGCTCTTTGCCGTGACCCGGAGCGTCCTCCGACTTCTGCGGACGCGCTCATGTCTTGGCTGCCGCCCTGCGTGTGACGAGCCCGTGCGCGGGGTGTTCCCTCCGCAAACGCTGTGGCCCAGGGTGTACCCCCACCTGATGGCAGGTCACGACCTGAGACCAGCCCGTTGACGGGAGCTGGCCTGGGGTGTGTTCCCAACAGCCGTACGCGTCCATCCTCGGTGCCTCGGTGTCCGAGGGACCCTGGACGCCGGCCGAGCCTGCAGATGGAAGGACGCGGGGAGGGGAGCGTCCACTCGGGGGAAGCGTCCACTCACGGCCTCTCTCCCTGTCTCCCCCGTGCTGGCGGCAGCGTGTGACCAGCTGGCCCTGGGCGTGGCCGCGCTCTTCGGCCCCTCCCACAGCTCGTCCGTGAGCGCCGTGCAGTCCATCTGCAACGCCCTCCAGGTGCCCCACGTACAGACTCGCTGGAAACACCCCCAGGCGGACGGCCGGGACCTGTTCTCCGTCAACCTGCACCCCGACCAGGCGGCCATCAGCAGGGCGGTGCTGGACCTGGTGCTGCACTACGACTGGAGGAGCGTGACCGTGGTGTACGAGGACAGCACAGGTATCCGGGCGCGGGCTCCCGGGGGGGCGGGGGGGCTCCCCGGGCGGGGCGGGGGGGCGCTCTCCCGGAGCCCCTGGCGCTGACCCCATTCCCGTGGGGACTGATGTTTCCATCGTCACTCTCAGGGGAGCTGTACAAAAGAAACACCACCCCCTGGTGCTTACGTATCAAGTCAGAGCAGCGAAGACGCCGCTTCCCTGACCCAGGGCTGCGGGCCGGGGCCGGGCGCTCGGGCGAGGAGACCCGAGTGAAGCCCGCGCTGCTCCCTGCGTCTCTCGAGGTCGGCCGTCCGGCCAGACGTCTGTCCGATCCTCCCCCGTCCCAGCTTCCTCTCTGCGTGCGTTCTGGTTCCATTTCGGGGTCTGTGGGAGTCCAGGTCCCTTTTATTCCGTTTGAATCCCGCTGGTGACTCCCCGTGGTCCCCGCGATGCGGTCCAGGTCCTTCCAGGCCAGAGCCGCTCACAGCCCTGCACCTCCCTCGGCTGAGGTGCCGCCTCCCCCACTCCCTGCGCCCTCTCCGTCCTTCCCGGGCCCCTGGCCTCACCCCGGCCGGTCACCCCGCTCTTCTTTGGGGGGTTAGCCCCTCACTTTGGATGACTCTCCACAGTAACATGCAAACATTGCCTCCTCCTTGAAGCTCTCAGACCCCCAGGCTCAAGGTCACTTTGTAAACGTTAAGCATCAAGTCGGTTCGGTGATGTTGACGTGGCTCGGAGAGGGGGGTTCCTAAAATATCGGACGTTCTCCTCACTATCTTCACAGTCAGGGAGGAAGGTGCCGCACACGGCTCGCGGCAGGACTGACCTTCCCGCTGGCCCTCGACCAGCCCGGCTTCGGATGCCGTCGCCCAAGTGCAGGTTCTCCCGTAACTGTGCGGCCTCCGTATCCCGGTTTCTGAAGCCACGGAGTCAGCCGCCCGCGGATCAGAAACGGCTGGGAGTCCGTGGACGCAGGGCCGGTGTCTGTGAGGGGCTGAGCAGCTGACCTCGGGGTGCCCCCGGGGGTCCCGGGACCAGCCTCCCCCGGATACTGAGGGGCAACTGCACTTACTTTCCGAAGATGTTTCTCCAAGACTTGCAATTAGCTTCATTCTTTGACGTACACGTGTGGAGGGAGATGACTAAGGTATCAGCGGAAATCAATAAAGCAAAGCGTCTCAGCAGCTCGTTTTAATAGTATTTCATCTCGCCCTGTCCCTCCACGGGCCCCCGCACCTGTGGCCCCCGCACCTGTGGCCCCCGCACCTGTGGCCCAGGGGGTGCGCTGAGCCTGCCGTTGGACCTCACACGGGCTCCACCTGAAACTGTTGGAGCGAAGACTCTTCTGGCCGGACGTGTGCACAGGGTTCCCTTACGCTTCCTCGCACTGCAGGAAAGCAAAGGTCGCTGGTGTGAGTTGTAAGTGTTGTGTCCTGCAGCCCTGGCCGGGCCATGAGGGCCAGCAGAGCCCGGAGCCTGAGAAGGGCGCAGGGTGGTCTCCGCGCTGCCTGCCTGTGCGACCAGGTCAGCGGAGATCAAGGGGAGCAGAGCCTTCGACTCGGTGGGGACGAGACTGCTGGGCTCAGGCTTTGGGGCGTCGGTCACCAAGAGGAGAAAACTCAGCCGCCTGAGGGACGGAGGGGCTGGGTGTGCTCAGCTCCCACCTCCCGTCAGGGTTCAGGTCGTGAAGAAGCCCGTTCTTGGGGTTTGTTTAGGACTTTGTTCAACAGCCTGAAGCCTGCCCGGATGTCTGTGGGGCCAACGCCCCATGACGACCGCGAGTCGGTGGGAGCGATGCCTGTCTCCAAGGGCGGACTCCAGCCCACTCACTACCGGCTGCGGAATTCGCGCCCAAGCTGGTTGTCGGAGGCCCCGCGAGAACTCGGGGTCAAACTCTGTCCCTCTCACCTCCCCACCTTCTCCATCAGTCTGCTGCCTCTCCCTGCCCCTTCCACTCAGAGGTGACTGGGCAGTGAGAAACCGCCGCTCCCGGACCCGGGCAGTGAGAAACCGCCGCTCCTGAACCCGGGCAGTGAGAAACTGCCGCTCCTGAACCCAGGGCAGTGAGAAACCACCGCTCCTGAATCCCGGGCAATGAGAAACCGCCGCTCCTGAACCCCGGGCATTGAGAAACCGCCGCTCCCGGACCCAGGCAGTGAGAAACCGCCGCTCCCGGACCCGGGCAGTGAGAAACCGCCGCTCCCGGACCCCGGGCAGTGAGAAACTGCCGCTCCCGGACCCCGGGCAGTGAGAAACCGCCGCTCCCGGACCCGGGCAGTGAGAAACCGCCGCTCCTGGACCCGGGCAGTGAGAAACCGCCGCTCCCAGACCCGGGCAGTGAGAAACCGCCGCTCCTGGACCCGGGAGGCCTGGCTTCCCTTCCTCCCCACCATGGAGAAGTTTAGCCGAGGGCAGTGAGGGCAGTGTGGGGGGTGGGGGGGTGTCAGCAGTTCTGCTTCTCGAGGCCACACTCAGGCGTAGCCACAGCCCTGGGCTCGCAAACTCTGGGCCAGAGGCTGTGCGCCCACCTGGAGCTCCGTGGGCCCCGGCTTGGGCAAGTCCCTGCTCCGCCGGGCGGTGTGGGAGGGATGAGCCTGGAGTCATACAGGCCAGAAGGCCCTGTGGTTGGATCTGAGTCAGGGGAGGGGAGGGTCCCAGAAGGAAACTGTGTGGATCTGGGGGCTCCGCTCCTCGTGGGAGGGGCCACATGAGCAGATTCACATCGCGAGGTCCCTCTGGCTGTTGCTTCATTGATATGGGGACCAGGGCTGAAGGGGTAGCTCCTGGGGAAAGCAAAGCGAGGGAGGGGGTGATAGCAATGTGGGGGGGTCGGGGGAGGGTTGGATCTGGAAACATGTTGAGCATTGAGCCGGCCCTGAGGAAGTGGGGTGGGCGAGAGAGGCAGGGGGTGGCGTTGCCGTCCCGAGAACTAGGGTATGTCGAGTCGGTGAGGACCACGTCAGGTTCGGGTTAGGACGTCCACTGGAGTTCAGGAAGGGGTGTGGGCTGGAGAGGACATTTGAGCCCTCAGCAGATGGGACTCAGGTGGCCACCGAGGGAATGAGCTCCCCAGAGGCCTCTGGCCTGACGTCAGCACAGGCCGCCCAGGAGAGCGTCAGTTTCTTTTCTTTTTTTTTTAATCTTCACCCAAGGACATTTTTTGATATTTTGTTCAGATAGAGTAGGAGGGAGAGAGAGAGAAACATCAACGTGAAAGGGACACATCGAGTGACTGCCACCCACACGACCCAACCAGGGCTGGGGACAAACTGTAACCGAGGTACGTGCCCTTAGCGGGAACCGAACCCCGGTATCTCTGGACCGCAGGCTGATGCTCTAACCACTGAGCCAAACCGGCCAGGGCGAAGTCAGTTTCTTTTCACCTGCCGCCACCTTGAGGCACTTTTCTCGACACATCGGAACACGTCTCACACACGGGCCGCAGTGCAGAGGGTGGGCCCCAACAGTGTCAGCCGCGGGGGTCAGCTGGGATGAGACGGACACGGGATGGGGGTCAGGGCTCCAAAGAAACAACCGGGAAGAGGACGGAGGGACGTGCCGGCCCCGCAGGCACAGGAAGGACAACCTCGCCCTGTCCTGGCTGCTCTGGGTAATCAACGCCATGTGCCCAGCCCCCCCTCCCCCCGATCCTTCCCCCCAGAATAAGAGGAGCTGCAGCTGTTATCTCCGTATGTGAACGGTGACTTGGATGTCTGACGTTGACGCTAGTTCCCTCCAATTCCCCCTAGAAAACTGACAGAATGTCCCTGATCCCGACATTTGGGCTGGGAGAGAATTAACACTGTGGCCTCGATGGCCAGGCTGGGGAGACCTTCTGTGTGCGATCAGTTCGAAGGAAAAATAAGTGAGTCTGCCCTGGCTGGTTGCTCAGTGGTTAGAGCGTCAGCCCGCGGACCAGTGCGTCTCGGGTTCGATTCTGGTCAAGGGCACCAACCTGGGTTTTGGTTCATCCCCGGCCCTGGTCAGGGTGATGTAGGAGGCGACCAGTCGATGTGTCCCTGTCACATTGATGTTTCTCTCTCTGCCATTTTATCTGAAAATAAATGGCAAAATATCTTCAAGTGAGGATTAAAAAAATAATAATAATAAATAAAAATAAGTGAATTTTTCACCTTCAGCGACCACAGGCACCCACTGCGCTGTTGTGACGGGTGCCCAGGGAGACGCCCCGCCCCTGCTGCCCTGACCTGCCCGGGCAGACGCTGGGCCCTCGGTGCCCACGAGCCGGCGATTATAACCTGGGCTCATCTCTCACCACCTCCCTCCCTTCACGCCGACCCCCCAGACTCCCGGCCAGAGCCCCAGTCCCCGGATCCTGCTGCACCTGCTCTGTGAGGTCCTTGGACAACAAGGAACCCGTTTTTCTCTGGGAGTCTCCCCTTTCTCTGATGCACTTTTTAAAAGTCGTCTGTATGAAGGTCTGCACTTAAAAGTGTTGTTTTCCCCGGGTGATCCCCTCCCCCACTTCCATTCCAGGGTGATCCCCTCCCCCACCTCCATTCCTGGGTGATCCCCTCCCCCACCTCCATTCCCGGGTGATCCCCTCCCCCACCTCCATTCCCAGGGTGATCCCCTCCCCCACCTCCATTCCCGGGTGATCCCCTCCCCCACCTCCATTCCCAGGGTGATCCCCTCCCCCACCTCCATTCCCCAGGCGATCCCTCCCCCACCTCCATTCCCGGGTGATCCCCTCCCCCACCTCCATTCCCAGGGTGATCCCCTCCCCCACCTCCATTCCAGGGTGGTCCCCTCCCCCACCTCCATTCCCCAGGCGATCCCCTCCCCCACCTCCATTCCCGGGTGATCCCCTCCCCCACCTCCATTCCCAGGGTGATCCCCTCCCCCACCTCCATTCCCCAGGCGATCCCCTCCCCACCTCCATTCCCGGGTGATCCCCTCCCCCACCTCCATTCCCAGGGTGATCCCCTCCCCCACCTCCATTCCAGGGTGGTCCCCTCCCCCACCTCTATTTCCTGGGTGATCCCCTCCCCCACTTCCATCCTGGTGCCCATGCCCCCCCCTCATTGGGCTCGCACAGAGACCCCTGAAGACTCCCACCAGGTCTGAGAACATGCGCACACCGTGTTGGTGAAATGCCGTTTTGCTTCTTTCTAAGTTCAAATGAAGAAGAAACTAACAGTTAAAATGGGCCTCGTCTCTGGGTCCCGGTGGCTCACTGCATCCGTGTTTAGGGCCCGGAACCCACCACCGTGGCTCAGTGCACCGGGGGTTGGATTGAGGCCCGAGAAACCTGAGCCCTTCCCCTTTGACCTGCTGCCCCTCGCCCAGGGTGCGCTGTCGGGGGCTGAGTCACCTCGCAGGCAGGGACTCGCCCAAGCCCGGGGGTCTAGCAGCCGCTGTCCGGAGGGCATGGTGTCACCTTCAAGGTCCCTTCCAGTTGCTGGCACCCGTGGCCCATTGGCAGGGACAGCCACACAGTTGGCCCCCTGGGCCCCCCTTTCTTTGCTGTGAAGTAGTGGGGTGTCCCTCAGAGGTGCGTCCGGGGTCTGTGGAGCTCTCCGTGAGGCGTGTGGCCTCCGTCATGAACGCAAGGCAGGGTGCAGCTCACGGTCACTTAAGGACACGTCCTGGGACGTTTTAAACGCCCCCTGGAAACAGCAGGGTCCTTCTTCTCGGGCACGTGCTCCCCGGTTCCCAGAGTCACCCCGTGTTGGTGGAGATCAGGGTCTGTTTGCCACGTCTGCGTGCCGGGCGGATAGGGGGCCGGGACGTCCTCATGGCCACTGCGAGAACTCCCACTGTCCGCGGAGCCCGAGCTCCTTGCCCGAGGCACCTTCCGCCCCCGCGGTCTCCGCGCTCCGCCGGCTGGAGGAGGGCCCACTACGGGCTCCGGGTCGGCCTTCCTCAGGCCAGGTTTGAACTTAGAGAAAAGCTGCAAGACGTGTGCGGGGACCCCCAGCCCCCCATCCTGACCCACGTGAGACACGACGGCGTTTCACCCTGAATACACGCGTGTGCACCTGAAAACAAGGACCGTCCGTGTGACCCTTGAGCGACAGGCGGCACCTCAGCTCGTGGTTCCCTCCAAATCGAGCGGCAGCGGAGGCCTGTCCACGCGCTGGGCCCGGGGGGACGACGCCCTCGCCCTCGGAGCTCGGGGCTCCGCCTGGCGTGAGCACCCGGATGTGTTAGGGTTTTTCCCCTAAAAATGAACGAAGCGAGAAATGTCTTGAGCGATGAATGCCATCAGGTGTGGAGCCGTCAGAAGATGCACCTCGAGACGGGCGTCCGTTCTGCAGAACAAGGGCAGCTCCCTGTGGTCAGGAGCAGGAGGCAGGAGAACCAGGAGACGGAGCCGCCGGGAGTCGAGAAGGGTGAAGGGCCCCGTTCCCCACCGTGCCCGTCTCCCCGGGTGACGCAGGTCACGTCCGCTGCCCGGGCAGCAGCCTCCGCAGGGCAGGGCAGGGACGGGGGCTGCGAGCTGGGCCCACCCACACCGTGGCCAGAGCCTGGGTTTGCTCCGTGCTCTGCGGCGGCTGCTGCTTCCCCGGCGGCGGAGGTCCGCCTCCCTCTCTGCCCGGTGCCGCCCGTGTTCAGGGCTTGTCGGTGGCCCCCGCCGTGTGGGTCCGGAACAGGCCAGTGGCCCGTTATCGGAACCGAGAGCTGTCCCTCATGTTGATCGACTAGAAAGGGAGCAGGTGTCCAGCGAGGTTCTCATTCCAAAAAGTTACATTTTTAGGCTAAAAGATCGACAAGGACGATGAGCAGTGAGCCTTGGTTGGCTCCCCGGCTCCTCCGTCCGCTGCCACCTCCCACTGGACTGTTTGTCAGAAACAAACCCTGTGCGGTGTGCCAAGAGGTCGCTGGTTCTATTCCCGGTCAGGGCACATGTCCAGATTGTGGGCCCATCCCCAGTGCGGGGCGTGCAGGAGGCGGCCCGTCGATGTTCTCTCTCATCGATGTTTCCATCTCCCTTCCTCTCTCTAAAATCAATAAAGAAACAAATAATAAAGAGCATTTTAAAAAAGAAAGAGACCGTAGTGAGCCGTTTACAGGGACTTTCTGAGGTGAGCACGGAAGGGCCCGGCGAGCCGCCCACCACTGGCAAACCGTCGTCACAGGCGCAGGGGTGCGGGCGGCAGGTTCGCGGCCCGAGAAATCGCGCATCCCGTCGGCTCCGAGGGACCAGGTGACTCCAGGCCCTCGAGCGCCGCTGGACACGGCAACCAGCTTGTATGCGCACAGGTGTTAGAGGTACAGACCTCTCGTTAAGGGTGCGGCGCAGGCCGCGAAGGGGCGGACAGTCTTCCCAGATGAGTGGAGACGCACTGGGCGACTGCGCTGCCCACACAGGGCAACTGGGCCCCGCCCGCCTCGGCAGGGGGACGGCAGATGGCAAGTCAGCGGCCTCGACGGAGGCGGCCTCTCGAAACTGCGGGGGCGGGACGAGCGTGCCGGTAACTGGCCGTAAACAACGCTCCTTTGGCCTTTCCAGGTCTGATTCGCCTGCAGGAGCTCATCAAAGCTCCCTCCCGATACAACATCAAAATCAAAATCCGGCAGCTGCCCTCGGGGAACAAGGACGCGAAGGCCCTGCTCAAGGAGATGAAGAGGGGCCGGGAGTTCTACGTGATCTTTGACTGCTCCCACGGGACGGCCGCCGAGGTCCTGAAGCAGGTAGGAGGTGGGCGGAGGCGGCCGGGCAGTGCCGTGGTCCCTCCCGGAGACGCTGCCGAGCCCGTCGGTGCCGCTGGCACCACCCGCCGAGGTGGGACACTGGACACCGCCCTTGTCGAACCCGCTGGCAAAGCCGAGGGCTCGGGGGGCTGGGTTTCTTCGTCGAAGGTCCTGTGCGCTCGTCGGGCGCAGGCAGATCGGGCTGCAGAGGAGGGAGGAGGGGCGTCATCGCAGGACGACGAAGGGCCCTGTTCTCATCCTGGCACAGAACGAGCAGGTTTCGGAGCCTGACGGGCCCTGAACACTGGGGTTCCGGGCGGGCGGCCAGTCCCAGGAAGGAGCTGCCTGGCGTCCTCCTCCGTGGGGGGCGGGGGGGACGAAGGCGTGAAGAAGAGTGATGACCACAGCACAGGACCGTCCGGGCACGTGGGGGGCAGCGTGGTCTCAGGCTGGAGGAAGGGGCTCAGCACTTGGAAGACAGAGAAGCCAGCCGGCCAGTTCTCACCCCGGAGGGATCTGCCCCTCGGGGACTTGCGGCAATGTCTGCACACATTTCCTGCTGTCACACTGGGGACGGGTGGTCCACTGGCACCTGGTAACCAGGGGCCGAGGTGTAGACACCTGTGATGCCCAGGACAGCCCCCCAGAGAGCTGCAGCTGGAATGCATCGGCCTGAGGCTCAGACGGTGACTGAGCCGGGTCAGTGGGACAGGCCTCCAGGTGCTTAAAACAGACGCATTAATTAAAAAGCAGGGCGTTGAATTTGGGGGAACCTAGGCAGGAGTCACCGGTCACACGCCTGTGGCCTGGTGGGCGTGTTTGGTGATCACTGTGGCATCGGCAGTGCCCCGATCTGAGGCCGTAGCTGGGCCTGGCCAGGCAGCTCCGGGCCTTAGAGGTCGTCCCAACAGGCCAAGGTGGCAGGTTCGATCCCCGGTTCGGGTGCATACAGAAGTCAGCAGTGATGCAGTGATAAGGGGAACCACAAATCGATCTTTCTCTCTCTCTTTCCTCTTCTCCCCCTAAAATCATCTTTTAAAAGGAATTTTAAATGACACAAACAGGTTGCATTTCCCGGTGTCAAGGTGAAGTGTGGTTGACAGGTCAGGGCACCACCCGAGTGTGCAGACCAGGTGGGCTTGATGGGCGCCCCCGGGCCCCCCCAGAAGCGGACGTGAATTGAAAGGGATATTCACAACCCAGGACTCTCTGTTCTGGTCAAAATGAGGCCCGAGGACCCGTGTGATCTAGTTCCTCGGGCTCCGTGAGCCCCGGTCGACGCCTGCAGAAACAGACGGAGACCCCACCCCGCAGGGTGTCCCCTGGGGATGTGGAGCCCAGTGAGGGTCCTGATTCCTGCTGCCGCTCAACCCGTGTCCTTTACCCGAGAGAAGAGAAGGGACTCACGTCCCTGACCGAGGGCTCACCAGCACTCAGACGAGCGGATCCCGGGGTCCCTCACACCCCGAGGTGAACTGGTGGCCCCTGCAGAGCTTGGCGCCTGCAGCCGGGCCCGGACGTCCCTCCCCAGGGCACTGAGCAGCCCCCTGCCCAGCGCTGCACTTCCTGGGCTCAGAGTCCGTGAGCCCGTGACCTGCGGCTGCTCTGGGGACGGGCACGCTCTTCGTTCCAAAGCGGGCTTCCCGGATTTCCGGGGAACATGCCACCACTTAGGTGAAACTGGTATCGGTAGCTTTTATTTCTCTGGTGACCAAGACCAGTGCTGAGAAAACCCTCTCAGCCGGGGTGACGGCAGCTGTGTCATATTTTACCACTTCTTAACGATCCTTGAGGAAAAAGACACCAAATGCACTTTAAGGAAGACAGTTGGCATTTATCTACAAGTGACGACTGGAGAAAAGTCTAGTTATTCTTGGACATGCTAATTATTCTAGCAGAGTAATTACTTCTATTCAAATTGAACAAGTGCCGTATGATGAGAATCTGAAAAGTTATTTCCCCCAAAATTAGTGAGAAATTCAAATGTCAAGACTTGATGAAGTTGCAGAGACTGGGGGCTTCGTGGGAACCAAGTGCTTTGTCAGGTTCTGCAGATGGAGTGAGAGCCCTTGGGACCCCTGGGGCCTCCCGGCAGCCCCCTGGCTGCTTTGCCAGGACACCCCCGTCTTACCTGCCTTCCTGGGGAGACCCCGGCTCTCTGCTCCTCGTGCTCCCGCGTCCCACGCGCTCACTCCTGCCGAGCATCACCCACAGGCGTCTGGCCGGTGGGAGGGGACCCGAGCGGCAGGCACAGGACACCGCCCACGGGGCGCCCGACAGCACCGAGCTGGGCAACAGGCACCAGCTTCCAGCATCAACACAGCGAGCCCGGTGTCACTGGTGTGACCCTAATTCTGCACTGAACCTGGCGTCCTCCGGTGGCCGCTGAGACGGTTAAGTGGCGGCGACAAGCTCATTCCTTTGGATACATTCTGACAATGTAACGATGATGAATCCCTACGTGTCCTACTGGATGATACTTTGTAGCACATCCCATACCCGTTCAGGGCACATTCTCACTGTAACTAGATTTCTCTCAGGCTGATACTGAAATTGATCCCATTACCTGAGCGCAGAGTGTGGTTGGAAGGAGAGGCTCACAGGTGTGTGTGTGATTAAATATGCACAAGGACTCACCGACCTCTGTGGATAGCCGACAGTTTACTGAAGGGTTTGGACTTGTCCGTGTTGTTCGTGTTGGGATACTGTTGGAGGAACCTCAAAAAGCTCCACACCATTGGTGTGGGGAAGGACACGGAGTGGTTCCGATCCGCGTTGTAATAAAAATCGCACGCGTGCCTCAGAAATGTTCCCGTGCTTAACTCCAGCCACATCGAGACGTCGCTGTAACAGGTGAGAAGGAGAAATTATTGTTGCAATGGAAATGGGGGAAACGTAGACAGAACCCAGTGAAGGATTTGCAGGTCTGTACTGGAGCTCGGAGCAGGCCCATCAAGCTCGGGGTTCACGCCTCCTCATGTGGCCTTTTCCTTCATAAACAAAGATGTTACCGAGGACCCCCCCCCCCCGTGCCTGTTACCAAATCCTTTGTCCTACGGGGGATCCTGTGAGATGCAGATTCCCCTGATCCAGTGAACATGTCCTGGATGCGCTCTGTGCCGGGCAAAGGGCTGATAAAATACCATGAAAAACTCCAGTGTATTAAATGAGGTTGTTTAGCCTGCCCCTGTGACCCAGTGGACAGAGCATCGTCCCAGGGACTGAGAGGTCCCGGTTGGATTCCCGGTCAGGGCACGTGCCTGGGTTGTGGGCTCGATCCCCAGTGGGGGGCGTGCAGGAGGCGCCAATCACATCGATGTTTCTAGCTCTCCCTTCCTCTCTTTCTAGAATAATCAATGAAAACGTATTTTTTAACAGAAGCCTAGTTCAAATGCTATAACTCTGCTCTATTTTTCACATCTATGGATTGAGGGTAACACGCCCAACTGTGTATGAAGGAGCTCCTGCAGCAATAACCATGTAGCCAGGGGCAAAAGGCAGCTATAATCATGACTGTTATGGCTTTGAAACGTGGGTTTGGTTGATATCAATTGATGTTCTTCACCCTCTAGAACGTGATATAAATCGATGGCTGCGTGTTACCCGGAGAGCTTCTCGCACGTAGAGAGGCCTGCAGCACACCCGACCGAGTACCTGGAATATTCAGGGTGGGGTATAGGTGTTGGCATTTTCTTTAAGTTCTTTGGAGATTCTGATGCACTGAGAAGCAACGATATAAATAATTATTTTCTGAGCCGGATAGGTATCAGATGAATTGACATAGTGAAGTCGTTCCAGAAGCAGAGACAGCCGAGGGAGGACCCAGCGTCGGCTGTCGGCTGACTCCGCACGGTGGTGCGCAGCTCTCGGGACCAGCACGACCACCACCGACGACTGGGCGACTCTCCCTGAAAGGTTACCTTCGGGCAAACTGCCAGTGTGGGTTTTATTACCACCGTGGTACAAGAAGCTACTGCGAAACGATGACCATGCATCCAGCACCTTTCCTGTTAACTTCCCGGCTTCCGGATCTGCTCAGTTCTGCCGGTGAACTCTCCCTCCACTGGGCTTTCTGACGCCTTCCTCCCGCCCGTGTTCCCGGGTGCTGCAGTTTCGTCGTCAGGTTCACGTGCTCCCCCGGAGCTCCGCTTCCTCCTGCTTCACAGGCGGGCGGCCTGCCCCACTCCGCCCGGGAGCCCCGCCCCTCGCCCCGAGGTCAGCGTCTGTGCCCCGGAGGAGCCCCGCTCTGCTGAGCTCTCTGAGGTCTCCGCGGGGCCAAGCCAGCCCGGCTGCTGTCTGCTCCGCTGTGGGCACCGTGCCAGCTCCCTGCGCCCGCCCTGCCTCCGAGGGCGAGGTTACGAGGAATCAACCTCCCCAAGAGCTGATCCTCAGCCAGCAGGTGCGCAAGACCCTTCGCTGCCCCTTGACCCCGCGCGGTCTGGCCGGGTATGTGACGGGAAGAGCGAACCGTGGGTGCTCCCATGGCCTGTGTCTGTGCACACGCGTGTGGTTGGCAAGCGTATGAACGGAGGAGCACGGGGAAATTTAGAGCTGACGACGTCAAACAAGGCATTTTCCTCTTGATACACGCACTCGGTGTTAACACAGCAAAGCTGTGCGGTCTCGTGTGCCCCGATCACGGGAGATGACCAGATGAGGTGCACTGGTGTCCCGGTGCTTTAGCAAAGGAGCACACACGAAGCCGTCCACGGCCAAACAGGTGGTTTCCTTATGGCGCCAGAGACCAGCAGTCCAAGGGCACCGTGTAGCCAGGCCTTCCTCCCGAAGCTTCTAGGAGAATCTGGTTCCGCATCCATGCGGACTCCGCAGGCTGTGCCCACCGCCCGCTACCTGGCTGTCCCCACCGCCCGGCTGTCCCCACCGCCCGGCTGTCCCCACCACCCGGCTGTCCCCACCGCCCGGCTGTGCTCACTGTCCGGATGTGCCCCCTAGACGTTGCCTTTCCTGTCTCCGGTTCCACCTCTCTGCCGCTGACCCCA